GGATCCAGAGAAAACCCAGCGCTGCCCACGGGGCTCCCACCGCAGCGTTCCCAGGCCGGATCCCAGTGCCACGTAAGGGAAGGGAGATGCTGATCTGAGAGAGTGAGAACCGTGGGATCAGAGAATCGCAGGGAAGCGAAGCGGCAGCCCCGGGGGCGACCCGGGAATCCCGGGAACCTGTGCGGGCAGGGAGGGGGTCGGCAGATCAACGGTGACGTTTTTCCTTTCCTGGGAATTCTTGTGTCCTCTTGCTCTGCCTCGGCTCAGAGGCTCTGCGCTCCCGCTGGTCGTGTCGCTTGGGATGCTCGGGATGGTGATTTTCCTACAGGAGCAGCTTCCTGCTGGAAAAATCCCTCAAGGAGGGTGATGGGATGAGCTGCTAGAAAGTGTTTTGCTCCTCACACCGGCGCTGGAAGTGGCTCTTGGCAGGGAGACCTCCCTGTAAACTGCTGCTTGCGCCTCAGCTTCTCGTATCCCGTGCTCGCGAAGCCCAAATCTCCATCCCGGCCACATCTGGGAGCTGGGATGGAGAGGGGGGAGACAAAGCAGCTGCTGTGGTGTCTTCCTGGAGCTGCCAGACAGCACCATGTCCAGGGACCGTTTGACTGGGGATTTGTCCCTGGTAGTGACCATTAGAGGGAGAAGAAACTGGGACAGGACCACGGAGCACTTTTAGACACTCTCCAGCCTCTGGCTCTCATTTTAGGGGATTTGGGTGTGTTTCGTGCCCGAGGGGGGCTGTTTCTCGATGCCCTCTCCTGGAGCACGGGGTGCTTGTCCCCATCCCTTGCGCGGTGCCCCCCCGTGCCAGCCCCGCTTAGGGCTAAATCCGGATTAAAGCCGCGTCAGCGCTTAGGGATTTAAGGGATGACGTTGGGGAAGCTGGAGCGGGCTGAGCTCTGGAGAGGAAGGCTCCAGAGCGGGTCAGAGCCCTTTTTCCAGCCCAGGGGATGAAGGCTCGGGCTTCGTGAGGATGAGTTTTGGCTTCAGGGCATCACCTGGGGTTTGGTGAGGGCAGAAGCGTCGCCTCTGCGGCCTGCCGGGCGATAACCTCCCGTGGAGGCACGGGGAGCATGTTTGCTCTGCCTGCCTCGGCTGATAAGAGCCTCTGATAAAAGCAATGATAGTAAATAATAGGCTTTAATGAGAGGGCAGCGATTAGAGGAGGGAGGTGGTGCCCTCAGCTGGGGCTCTGCCCTGGGAAAATGGTCCTCGCTGGCCAAAACCTCCGTCGTCTCAGGGAGTATTGGAGACGTGTGGGGTTTTTTTCTTCCTGTCCCAACTTCCAGCTCTTCAGGAGGAGAGGCTCTGGTGCTTCCGAGGGTGTTACCTGAGGGAGCTGCCACTCCTTGGCCGCTCAGTTGAGATTTCCTGGCACTAGGTTATGAGTTCCTGGCAAGTGATGCCCTTTTGTTTTTTTTTTTTTTTTTCCATGTGACTTGAGAAACTGCAGAAATATTCTTTTTGTCCTTGAGCACCAGAGATACTGACGCCTCTGTGCAGACTGGGATGGGAGGGAGTGGGTAGTTGGGGTGGGAGAACTTCTGGTGGCTTTTCAGCTCTTCAAAGGGCCTGTAAGAAAGATGGGAACAGACTTCTGAGCAGGGCCTGTTGGGACAGAACAAGGGGGGATGGTTTGAAAGTAAAAGAGGGTTAAACTGGAGAGAAGGAAGAAACTGTTGACACTGAGGGTGGTGAGCCCCTAGCCCAGGTTGCCCAGAGAGGTGGTTGCTGCCCCATCCCTGGAACCATCCCAGGTGAGGTTGGCCGGGGCTCTGAGCAACCTGCTCTAGTTGTGGATGTCCCTGCTCAGTGCAGGGGGGTTGCAGTAGATGACCTTTAAAAGTCTTCCAAGCCAAATTGTTCCATGAATTACAGCTCCAGAACATCTCTACCCTCTTCCCCTTCCCCTCAGGAGCTAACAGGCTTCTCCTGGCAGCGCCAAGCCCATGCATGAGAAAGCAGCTCCCCTGAAGACCCCTGAGTCCATGCACGGCCGTGACAAACTGGAGGCATCCCACAAAGAGAAGAGTTTGGATTCCCTTGACGGCAGGTATGGGGCAGTATCTACAGGGCAGTAGATTTGGGGCTCTTGACTTACCTGATGATAATATTGTTTTTCCTTCCAGCCTTCACCTGAATGAAGCCCTGAAGGATGAGGACATCAAGAAATGCCACCGGGAAGTGGTAAGTCCTTGGTTTTGGGAGCCAACAGCCTCACTTGCTGTATTTTTGGGGGAGCTGATGATGATTCCGTGTGGCCTGTGATCTGCCTTCCAAACATTTCTGGGGTTTTCCATCCTGAGAAAAGGTAAAAGTGGAAATCTCAACCACAAGCAGCTCGGTTCTGCTATGTTTGAACCTTTTTATGGTGCAAACTGAGCCCAAAGCAGAATTTTCCCATCCCTGTGTGAACAAGAGGTGCTCTGGCAGAGGAAGCAGCAGAGGGAGGAGGTGGTTTTGCCTTTCCCTTGAAAAAGATGGAGGGGAAAAACATTTTGCTGATTATTTAGAGGCATCTGGGAGGGTTATGGGGCTGGTAACGGGTTTGTGCTGGGGCTATGGGGACAAGACAGCCCAGGGGTGGCTCGGAGGTGATGCCACAGTCCCCCCCATGTCACCCTGAGACGCTCCCACCAGCACTTCCACCATCCTGCTCTCTCAGTTGACCCCGGGTGAGGCTGAGCCTTGATCCTCTTACGCCCCCGCTCATCCTGTGACAACGTGTGTGGAGCAAAGGTGACCTTGTCACCACGGGCAGGAGGAGCTCTGCCTGCCAACCCGCCTTGCTGCCCCGGCGCCCGTCGAGCTGCGTGGGATCTCTCCCCATCCCTTGGATTTTGGGGACGAGCCATCTGCATCGTGGGGACAACCAGGGAGCACCCTGAGATCTGAGGCGCTGCCTTTTCTGGGGCAGGGGGCACAAATCTGCCTCGCAGGACTAAGGGCAGCGGGTTTCTATCCAACGTCGAACTGCTTTGGAGCCTCTGACTTCCATACGGAATTATTGAAGGGCAGAGCTGCCGGCGGGCTTTGAAGAGGCACTGGAAATATAAATAGCTGGATGGCACGGCGTGATGGGCGCAAAGCAAGTCTTGTCATCGTGCCCCAAATAAGGGGAGAGCTCGAGGAGGAGGAGGGAAACTGCTGGGCAAAATACCTGCGGATGAGCCTGGGAGAAAGCCAGCTCCCCGCCAAGGCTCAGCAGCCTCCATAGATGTTGGGGGACATGTGGATTTGGGAGGATGACGCAGCACTGGGGTGCTGGATCACACAACCCTCCTCCTGCCCTTCGAGCCTGCTGTCCCCAGCCCGCTGGGACCCCGCAGCGCCGGTCGCGGGTGCGGGGAAAGGGTGGAGGGGGGTTGTTTTGTTTTCTTTTCTGGGCCTCCGTTTCGGCCAGGTCGGCAGCTAACTTGGCTCTGCTTCGTTTTCAGGCCGCTAGCAAGTACAACTCCCAGTACCACAAGCTTTTCAAGGACATCCCGACGGAGGAGAGCGTGCTGAAAGGTGGGTGGCACGGCGGGGGACGGGCACAGGGGAGGCAGGAGCCAGCACACCAACTCCCGTCCCCCCTCTCTCTCCACCTCGCAGTTTGCTCCTGCGCCCTCCAGAGAGACATCCTCATCCAGGGAAGGCTTTACATCTCCCCCAACTGGCTCTGCTTCTACGCCAACCTTTTTGGAAAGGACATCAAGGTAATGGCGGGGTTGGAGCTGCATCAGGAGGGTTCGTAGCCCTTCTTGTGCCTAATTCACTGTCGGGGATCTCCACCACGACGGGGAGCGTGGCTGTGCCTCCCCCTCCAGTCACCTGTGGGGTCTGCCTGGGGAAAGCAAATATTGGTTTAGCTTAAAATTCCCTGGTGCAAAACCTGCGACCATCCGCAGCGGTGTTGGAAGGAAAATCAAAGGTTTTGGGTGGGGAGGAGAGAGATTTGAATTTCTCTCGGCTTCTCTTCTTGGTTTCCAGGATGATGTTTCCCTGTTAGTCTTGTGGCTGACGGGGATCTTGGGGAGAGATGACTTCCTTAAAAACTGGGCTGAAGAGCTGAATTATTTATATCGGCCGCTTTAAACAAATCCCCTATGGAAATACGGGGCTTCGACCAACTTCTGCCATCATTTACATCCTGCCTTATTTTTAACCCTCCCTGGCCTCGCAGGGGGGCCTGTCGTGGTGGCTCTCGGGGAGATTTGCTGGATGATGCTTTCTCCACGTCCTCATTGCTTTGATTGAGCAGAAACCACCTCCGAGCCGAGATTAACACAGTGGGGATGCAGTGACCTCGAACAAAACCCCAGCTGCCTCTGGGAAATGCCAGATCCTCACATCATTGTTCCTCTTGGGGCATCATAAAACATGTTAAGCCTCCACTGAGTGGCAAAAAAAGCCCTCCTGGACCTCACGCCGTGCTCATCCCCGTGTCTTCTCACCCTCCAGGTTGTGATCCCGGTGGTCTCTGTGCAGCTGATCAAAAAGCACAAGACGGCTCGGCTGCTGCCCAACGGCTTGGCCATCACCACCAACGCCAGCAGAAAGGTAACGCTGCCACTTCCAACATGTTTGAGAGCTGGGAATGAAGCCTGGGATAAAAGTGGGAAGCGGTTGGGAAGCAGTTGTCTCCGTGCTGGCAGCTGGCCAGGCCAAACACGGCAGCTTGGCTTTTGTTTTGGAATTTCACTTTGTTTCTGGGCAAAGCAAAACTCCAAGTGAAACTCGGCCGAGCCTGACAAATCCCTGCCGGGCTCAAAGAAAACCTTTAAACTCCTTCAACGCAAGCAGGGGAAGGATTTGGGCCGGAACCAGTGGAAAACTCAGTTAGGGATCTGAATTTCCATTTTTTTTTTCCCCACTGTTGGGTGTTGGTTGGCTGTGGGGAGTTGACATCCAAGTCCTCGTCTGCTCAGGGGGAAAGGTTTATTCCTGTGGGATTCTGGGAGGGGGTTTTTCCTGAGGGATTTTGCCAGGGGGTGGCACAAGGTAGGATTTGGACACTGAAGAGCGATCTCGAGCGAGGCGCCCCAATCCATGGGGATGTTTCCCATCACTCTCGGCCCCATTTGTTGCCTCATCCCTCTGGGCTGAGCACGGGAGGCTCCGTGGGAACAGCAGCCTAGTGAAACTGGCCCCAAAAAAATCTGGTCCAGGTTTTTATCAGGCTGCAAAAATAACAGCAGGGGAAGCTCTGACGGGAGATGGCTGCGAGGCAGGGGGACGCGGCTCCCAAAGGAGGGGACATTCAAGGGCAGGATGTCTCTGTTGGGGGAGAACCATATTTGGGATGGGGGGGAATCTCTGCTGGGAGCTTCTCTCTTTCTCTTGCAGTACATCTTTGTATCCCTCATCTCCCGTGACAGCGTCTACGACGTCCTGAGGAGAGTCTGCACCCACCTGCAGGTACGCCCCCGCCCCACATCCCATGGCATTCCCGTGGGGCTCCGTGCTCCCCCTCAAGGCTGTGTTTTGGGGAGCAGAACTCCTCGCCGCGCCCTCCGACAGCTCGCAAAACCCTCCCCAGTGACCTGCTGCCTCTTCCCAGCATCCTCACTCACGCCCTGGGCACCTCCCATCCCCGTGAGCTGCCACCGGCATTTTCTGGGTCAGGGATGATGGTGCCAGAGCCTGGAGTTTCTGCTCTCTCCCAGGGTGTGGATATGAATTATTCATAATCTGGTAGTTATTCTCGTTCTGCCACGTCGTTGCCTTTCCCCCAGATCTAAAGGTTTAAGCAGAGAAAAAATGGTAACAAAGTAAAAACAGAAAATAAAATTTGAATTGGAGAGTCAAAGAGGGGAAGACAGCCGTGAGCCCTTGGGCTGGAGAAGGAGTGTGGGGACCTTTGAACCATGTGGGAAGCGGGTCCAGAGCTCTTCCCTGCCCAGGATGGTGCCTGGGGTGGCGATTTGGGTGACTCAGCCCCGTTGCCAAGCTGGAGAGTTCATTCTTTGAAACGTGCTGGGCTCTGCCCAGATATTCCCCGTTTTATCCCCGAGGCTGGCCATGGCCCTGTGGGTTTTTTGGTGCTGGGAAGTAGCCACGCCATGCCTCAGGTACTCTTCCTCATCCTCCAAATCCCCCGTGCTCCCAAGTTTTAACCGGCTGCTCACCACAAAAGCCAAAATTCCCATTTCTGGCTCAAGTTGGAGGGGTGTCCCCATAACGCCCATTTCCTTGTCCCCTCCAGGTCTCGAGTAAGAAGAGCCTGAGCTTGAAGGAGCTGTCGGAGGAGCCCGACGCCGTGTCGCTGGTGAGGGTCAGGGCGGCTCTGGGCGAGGGAAGGAGCCCCGGGAACTCGCGCCGCGGGCAGGAGAGCGGCCACCTGGCCCCCCTGGTGGGTTTGTCACCCTCTCCCCTCACTGCCGCCTCCTTCCCAGCTCTGGGATCCTCAAACCCAGCACGGATGGGTCAAGAGGTCCCTTTGGACAGTCTGCAGCTGAGCTGAGCGTGAGCTGGTGGCTGGTTGGTCTCTGGGGTCCATTTATAGATGGAATCTTCAGAGTGATGTGGAAGATGTCACTGCTCCGCTCCCCGATGCTGTTGGTGGCTGTGGGCACAGAGAATGGGCTGGAAATGTGGTTGAATGACCCAAAAACCCATGGGCTGCATCCTGCTGCCTTTGGAGCACAGCAGCATGGTGGCTCTGCCCATGGTGGCTCCGTGCCTGGCCAGCAGGACATGTCCTCTCCGTGGAATGTTGATGGCTTTTCCATGTCTCTGCTCTGTCACAAAGCTGTTGGTAGTGTGGGGATGCTGAGCAGGGTGTCCTCGTGGTCCTGTGCATCACAAAATGGCCCCAAGTTGCCACAGGGGAGGTTGAGGTTGCAGCTGAGGAACAATTTTTTCCCCTTGAGGGTTGTCCAGGGATGTGCCAGGCTGCCCAGGACAGTGGTGGAGTCTCCATCCCTGGAGGGGTTTCCAAGCCGTGGAGATGTGGTGCTGAGGGACATGGGTCAGTGGGGGCCTGGCAGTGCTGGGGGAACAGTTTGACTTTGTGATCTGAAAGCTCTCATCCAACCAAAGTGATTCTATGGTTCTGTGACCAGCCACAGGGCTCTTGGAGGATAACAAGTGACTGTGTTGAGCTTCAAGGGGTGGAGGTGGCAGCAGTCAGAATTTGGGGCAGGTATGGGGTGCATGGGCAGGTCCTCCCTATGGCAGTAGTGTCCCCATGGAGCCATTGTGGGGGACCAGCTGCCCCTTAGGACGATGTTTTGGATGCACTGGTGCTTTGTGGAGAGGTGCTGGAGAGCTCAGGTCCAAACCTGTCGCCGCCGCTGTTCCTGCAGGAGGTGATCGTCCCCGAGGGGAAGTGGAGGAAGGTGTCACCCACCTCGTTGTCACTGTCACTGCCTGATGCTGACTATCAGTGCATCCACCGGAGCTCTGTCAGCAGCCTGAGTGCCAAGGAGAGCTCCTTCACCTCCGAGGAGCCCCTGGTTTCCGGTGAGGGCTGCGTCCGACCCCGTTTAGGAGCTTTGGATTGGAGCTGAGGAACAATTTCTTCCCCACAAGGGCTGTCAAGGCCTGGGCCAAGCTGCCCAGGGCAGTGGTGGAGTCCCCACCCCTGACGGGATTTCCAGGCCATGGAGATGTGGTGCTGAGGGACATGGGCCAGTGGGGACCTGGCAGTGCTGGGGGAATGGTTGTACTCCATGATCTTCAGGGTCTCATCTAACCAAACCAATTCTATGAGTATGCCTTGCAGGCGAGCAGGGTTGGGGCTGGGAGGCAGTGATGGGGTGATGGGGGTGGGATGAGGTATCCTGCCTGCAGGGTCTGAGACACCTGTGACACCATCCACGGAGGAGGAATATCCAAAGGCTCCTGGTTGCCCGAGGAGCACGAGCACCTACCCAGCATGGCCGTGGCCCTGACTCTGGGCTTGCGTTTCAGAAAGTGCAATAAACACGGAGGAGGAGCTGGAGGTGGAGCAGAGCTGTGTGGCAGAGCTGAGACCTTCCGACTACCAGCTCCTCAAGATCTTCATCGTGCTGTGAGTGTGCCGAGGGCGGCCATGGCGTGGGGAGGACGAGGGCTCCACGGGGAACCTCCCTCCCAACTGCTGGACACTTGTGCTTCTTCCTCTGCTCCCAGGATCTGCCTGCTGGTCGTGTCCTCCTCGTACCTGGCGTTTCGGATCTTCCGCCTGGAGCAGCAGCTCTGCTCTCTGAACCGGGACTACCTCTCCCGTGGGCACAGGAGGTGAGTGAGGGACCTTGGGGACACCACAGGGCAGGTGGGTTGCACCATGAGCTGGTGACCCGAGAGATGTGGTGTCCAGAGCAACGGAGGTGCTTTGTCCCATGTCCTGTGCTTGCTGTTGGGATGGCCAACAGCAGACCCCAGAGTGCTATCCCCATCCAGTGGGTGATTCCATCAGCTGCTGGTTTGAGCGAATGGGGAAAGTTCTGCTGTCCTTGAGACCTTCAGACCTTGGGAAAAGGTTTCCATAGGCTAGTTTGGGTTGGACAGGACCTAAAGGTAATCTGGCCCAACCCCCTGCAGGGAGCAGGGACATCTGCCACTAGAGCAGGTTGCTCAGAGCCCCGGCCAACCTCACCTGGAATGGTTCCAGGGATGGGGCAGCGACCACCTCTCTGGGCAACCTGGGCCAGTGTTTCCTTGCAGGTTTGGGGCTGGTTGCTCAGCTGTAGGAAGCACCAGGACACCTCTGTGGAGCTGGGCTGTGCTCGGGGGCTGATGTGGCCGCCAGCGAGGGATGGACGGGAGGGGGTTCCCTTGGGTTGAGGACATGGGTGGGTCTCCCTCGTGCCCACAGGGACTGAGCACCAGGCTGGACCACAGTGCTTCCACCCCATCTTCTTCTGCTCGCAGGTGACTGTCAGTCCAGCGCTGGCTGAGGACAGACACCGAGATGGTGGCAACCTGTGGACATATCCTCCTGGCCGTGGCCGTCGCACGTGGCCCAGCTTTCTCTCGGCTGGTAAAGTGGGACCAAGGATCTTCTCTCTTCCTGCTGGCACCTTCTCCTGGTGGGACCACCCGGGCAGCCTGTGGCTGGCGCTACCAACTCCTTGTCCCCCTGGGACACCACTGTGCCAAGGGCTCGGGGCTGCCGGGCAGTTGGACCTCCCTGCACGACGTGCTGCTGAAATGGGTGCCGGCTTTTATTCCAGCTTTGGGGGTTTTCTGGTGAAAAGATGACTTTGGACTCGCCAGGGACCCCCAAAAGCGTCGATGAGTTGCTGCTGCCCTTTTGGGTGAAGCCTTAGTGGCGGCTTTGGGTTGAACTCGTTTGTCCCCCTCTTGGTACCCCCGGGGCCACGTCTGGAGGAACTTGCCCAACCCCTGGTGTCTGTGGGGATGGGGAGGAAGGGGCCACCAGCCCTGGGCGGGGGGTCATCTCTCCCAGCACCCAAGGGTATGGGGGTCCAACCCAAGGGCCAGCCCTTCTCTTGTGGAGCACTGTGCCAGCTCGGGGTGCGTGTGTCCCCCTTACCAAGCACTTTAGGGTTCCCCAAAGACCAGGTGTCCTCTCTGGGGTCCGCACCGGGCCAAGGCTTTGTTAGCCCTGCTAGCCTCGTTCAGGTGCCCCAAAAGCAGCCTGTGGGTCATGGCCTGTCTGTGCCCTGGCTGAATGGCTGCCATGGGGTTTACCCCACAGCCTCCCCTGGCAGGATGCTGGGGTGGGTGGCAAGACCTCTGCTGTTCCTTTAGGTTTCTCCTTCCTATTTTTTGGGAACTCCAAGTGCTGATGGGGCCAAATCCCCCAGGCCTGGGGACGAGCTTGCTGCTTGCTCCGGGCTTTTAACGGAAAATAAACCTGGGATTTTCTAGCACATTGCTGTCTGCTGCCAGAAAAGGGGGTACCCCAAAGCCTGCAGGTGCTCCTTTGGCTGCGTCCTCAGAACATGAGGGGACAGCCCTGTCCTCGTGTTGGCTTGGGGATGGGTGGCATTGCCCTGGGGGCTGTTTGGCCACCGATGTTCCAGCCCGTAGCGTGCACCGGATGGGTGCTGGGGGTGCTCAGCACTGTGAGGTGTGTGGGACAGCAGGCTCAGGGTGCAGCCCTGGCTGGGGCAGGGAGACCAGGGTGGTTTATTGGGTGACAGCCAGGGCCAGGGATGCTCTGGGTGCTGGGGACAGGGGAGGTTGGTTCACTAGGTGGCAGCAGCGACTGTAGGATGTGACACTCGAGCTTGTGGCAAGGCCACCCTGGGGACGGCAGGTCCCTTCTGCCGGGAGCTGGTTCCAAGGCCTCCAGTTGGCTTTGCCTGCCCGGTGGGTGCCTGTTTGCTCTCTCGGCAACGCCCTGCTCCAGCTTATTTGCTTTTCTTTGTGTAAAGAAAGCCTTGGGTGCTGGAAACGTCCCTGTGTGGTCACCTTGCTGGCTTTGGGGGCCTGGAGCAGGCTGTGCCCACCAGAACACAACCCCTGCGAGTCCCGCCCCCGATTGCACCCACTGTCTCGCCTGTGCTCTTCCCCAGCCCAAAATCACCCCCTGAAGACAGGATTAGGAAATTAAATACAATTAGGAGCTGGCCAGGGGCTGGCCCCGGGCGCTCGCAGCCCAGAAGCCCCTGGCAACCTGGGCTGCACCCCCAGCAGCGTGGGGAGCAGGGCAGGGAGGGGAGGGGATCCTGCCCCTCTGTCCTGCCCTAGGGAGACCCCCATGCAGTGCTGGGGCAGCTCTGGAGTCCTCAGCACAGCAGAGACAGGGACCTGCTGGAGTGGGGCCAGAGGAGTCCCAGCTGAGAGGAGTCTCTCAGCAGAAGAGAGTTGGGCTTAGGCAGCCTGAGAGGAGAAGGCTCCAGCTGGGGAGACCTTCTGGGGGCCTTTCAGCTCCTGAAGGGCCCTACAGGAGAGCTGGGAAAGTTCTGGTGACAAAGGTGTGTAGCAACAGAATGAGGGGCAATGGATTTAAACTAGAGCAGGGGAGCGTTAGATGAAGCATTAGGAAGCTCCTCACTATAAGGGTGATGAAACACTGGCCCAGGTTGCCCAGAGTGGTGGTGGAGGCCTCATCCTTTGAGACATTCATGGTCAGGCTGGATGGGGTTCTGAGCAACCTGCTCTAGCTGCAGATGTCCCTGCTCCCTGCAAGGGGGGTTGGACTCAATGACCTTCCAAGGTCCCTTCCCACCCAAACCAGTCTGTGATTCTATGACCTGGCTGCACAAGAAGCCATGGGGTGAGGGTAGCCACTGCTTGACCTCCACAGAAGATGGGATGATGCCAAGAAGGAGACATTTTGGTTTCAGGTTTATTCTGGACCCGGGAGGGGCAGAGACATCACTCCAGCAAAGCCCTGCGGAGTCCAAAGAGAATTGATCCCCTTAGACGAGCAGCTTGAGCCCCTTTCAACCACCTCTTGGGGTTTCAGCTCCAACTGAGGGGTGAAGACGCTCTGCCAGGTGGGGCTGGTGCCCTAGCCTGCTTGTTGCTCCCCATCTGGGCAGCCAGGGAAGGAAGGGAATGACTCCCAACCCTTCTTTTGCCCCCATATGTGTCTTGGAAGAGCCTGGGCTGTGGTCACTCACTTTTCTTAGCAGCAAGAGAAGTTTAAGGTCTTCCTACAGTTCATCACCTCGGTGCTGGGCTGGGCCAAGAGCTCCAGGTGAAAAATAATCCTTCCCCCTGTCTTTCCAAAGGGTTATATTTAACCTGGATCTCCCTGATCCAGTCTTCACACTGGGGTGTGGTTGCTCTGTTAGGTACTACCTCATCAACCTGCTCTTTGCTTCTCATGAGCTTAGAGACTGTTCCTTATCCTGCAACGACATCTCGGGCTCATTTTTTATTTTCCCCCCCACAGCCTGGTTTTCAACAGAGGATCCACTCCGAGATCCCAGCCATCATCCAGGGAAAGTGGCTCCATTAAGAACTTCAAGGAGCCTGCGGTTACCTTTGGCTTTTACACCTCAATCTCTGCCCCTTTGTTCTTGTTGGGGTGTTTTTTTTCCCCTCATCTCAAGTAACAGAACTGGTTTTGTGCTGGAGGAAACTGCCTCGTACACCCAGAGTGCAGCCAGGGAGGGCTGGGGAGTGCTGATGAACCCTCCTCAAATGGAGCCAACCCAAAATTGCTGTCAGAAAGAAAAACTTCCAAGAGTGAGTGTCACTTTTCATCTCAATTCAGTGTTTTTTTTGGTTTGTGTTTTTTTTGTTAGGATTGACTTTCTCAGCTCCCTGTTAATCTTCCAGCAGTTCAGAGTTAGGTTTTATTCTGTAATCGGAGCAAGCAGGGGTGGGGGATAAAAATAAAACCCTATTGCCATACATCCTAGGAGGACCTATCTGAAGAAAACCAATTTTCTTCTTGCCCTGTTTGTTAATTAATTGCAGCATTTTCTTTGGAGTCTCCTCTTTTCAGGGGTGAAAAAGGAAAAAAATCCTCACTGCTAAATCCTAAACTGCTCTGAAACCACAAACGGGAGGCACAGGTTGGAAACAGCCACGAGAAAGCAATTTGGGGGTTTGGTTTTTAAAGGTTTTTGGCTAAACCTGGCCAATTCAAACCACCCAACGAGGGCAAAGAAGTTGTCTCTTCAACCAGCCTGTTTTTGCCACAGTGTAAAAATTCCCTGTGGAGAGGACGTCTTTGAAAGCCAAGTGACTCATCAGGCTCTCAAGTTCAAAGGCCAATTATTTCCAGAGGGGACTAAAGCTTTTCCAAGAGGGAAGGTTTTTTTGGGGGAGGTGTAGCCATGCTGGAGGGGTTACATTCTTCTTTGGGACCAAGATGCTCTTGGGCATCTCTCTCAGGCACTGGGGGTGCTGCCTTGTGGATGGGGAAGGCAGATTTTTTTTGGGGGGGGGGATGGGATAAGGAGGGGCATTGGTCGGAGCTGCATCTCCATCACTTCTGTGCCAGTTTGGCGATGAGAGCTTTCCACTCTGATCTCTTCTGCGTGATGTAGGAGGGGGTGAGGAGCTGCAGCAAAGGCTCTGGCCGGCCCCTGAAGTGCCCCTGGCACAGAACCTCCGCGTTGCAGATCACGTACATCCCGCAGTCGTAGCTGTTCTGCTGGGCAGGTGCCTTCTCCTCCACGAAGGTCACTTTGCCCCCTCTTCTGCCCAAGAAGGCCTCCAGCTTCCCCGCCACTTGCTTGGCGTGGGTAGAGTTGCATTTGCTGTGGGAATCGTAATGGGCGAAGCACTTTTTGTCCCTGAAATACACCAGTAAGCTCCAGTGGGTGCCCCCGGCGACCTGGTTGGAGTTATCATTGATAGGCAAGAACACCAGCTGCTTCTGGAGAAGGTCCAGTGGTTGAAGGAATATGGCTATTTCTTCCTGACTAAGGGCACATTTGATGAACTGGGCCACCTCGGGGCCAATGAAACAAACCTGGTCGCCGAATTCTTGGAACTGGTGGTTGGCGAAGTACTCGAAGGCAAACCCAATGATGTGGTCGTTAAGCCAGTTTGGGGGTTCCAGCAAGGCAACGTCTGACTGCCTCAGCAAGCTGTCCATGTAACTGAGAACCACGGGGTCCATCCTGAGCAGGTCGGGGCTGCCGCACTCCGGGAAGCTTCCAAAGCTGAAACAGAGAAAAGGAAGAGCAGTTAAGGAAGTAAATCTGGGACAAGAGACGGTGCAGCAAACGTCTCCAGTTCCTTCTCGGCAAGCAGAAAAAAAAGCCCAGGTTTCCCAGAGGGAGATTTGAAGGACCAGGTGAGCAGACAGACAGAGGACATGCAGCTCCTTGCCCGCAGCGTGTGGTGGGTTGAGCCAGGTTCTTCTGCTCCAGGAGTGGTGTGTGGCTCTGCCGAGATAAATGTTTCATCCTCGGGATCTTAACCTCAAGGCAAAGTGATTTCAAAGCAGGAGCCTGATGGCCTTCAGCCCCGTGCTTCTCCTTCAGCTCCATGATGTAGGAGGAGTTCTGGTGTTTCACCTGCACAGTGACAATCTCCATTTTTCCTTCAATAAAAGTGTTTTGGGGCTGTTTTGACAGCCAGACGGTGCCTTTTGCCAAGCAGATAGTGCCAGAGCTCAGAGCCAGACGTGTGACCTGTTCCAGGCAAACCTGCTGGCCCGCCAGCGTAGGAGGCAAGGTGGTGATGAGTAAGCAGAAACAAAGCAAACCAAGATCACAAACAAACCAGTTCCCTGCCGGGGGAAACGTTAGAGGACGACTCTCTGCTCAGCAGTAGAGACTCCAACAACTCAAGTACCACCAAAGCTGGAGGGTCTGCCAACTACTTCTCTGGTATTTTACTCCCTCATTTGTCCAGGCTATGTTCTTTACTTCAGGACATGGTTTAGTGGTCACAGTAGTGTTGGGCTGATGGTTGGACTTGGATGATCTGAGAGGTCTTTCCCAACCTTAATGGTTCTAGAATTCTTCCCTCTTAACCTGTGCCCGCTTTCCACAAATAGTGGCTGCTTAGCTTCTAAAAAGGTCCTTGGAAATTCAAGGAGCACTTTGTTCTCCCTACCCATGTATTTGAGGACGTACTCAAGGGATTTTTGACAGGTCTTCCAGGTGGGACTTCTCCCGACTCCTTCCCATTTATCAAGGTTTCTGTGTATCCACTACTTCTGGCCTTTCTACCTATCCCCTCAGCTTCCAGGATTCACCATCAGTTCCTGGCCAGGACAGAACTAGGGACGAGGGTGAGGTGGAGAGCTGGCTTGGCCTCACCCTTTCCTCATCTGTGCCAAACCCTGCATGAAAACATCTCAGGGTAAAGCACCGTGTGAAAACTAATCACAGTAAGATCATTATGACACCAATTATCCATTACGATAGGGGGAAATAAAAAAAAAACCCTCACGTGTAGTGGTGTTTACGCGGTAGGAAGAAGAAGATTTGTTTCTTAGCACAAGGTGAATCATGAAAAGGTCCTTGCTGGCCAGGTATGCATAAATTAAGGGCGATGGCTCTTGGAAAAATCTTGGTGAGGTCACATCAGATGTGATTTGTAAAGAACAGAAGGGATGAAGCCCATACAGTGCCCCAGATTGTCCTTCACTGTGTGGTTTTGCTGCTTCATCTCCTCCTAGAGACGTATGAAACACAGCAAATAGCTTTCCACTCAAGTGCAAGCAGGATTACAGGCCAGGGAAGGAAGCTTGTGTCCCGTGTTCTGTTCATTTTCCACTCTGCAGCAACATAATCTGGGCGCTTTTTTTTCCAGTCAAGAGGGGAAAAGTAAAAGGGAAAAGCCATTTGGCAGCTTCCTACAGTCAGGAAGGGAGAATGGTTCTAGCAAAGGCTTAATTGCCACTAGCTACTACTTTTAATTTTATTACCAGCTGGTATTTGTGAGTTCTGCAGGATGAGTCACCTTCAAGGAAAACCCTTTGTAGGCTCAGACACCTTTCGGAGCTACTTAAGGTAAGCTTCGAGGCCTGAAAAGCCTTTTCATGGTGTAGTGGAGCTGTGAAAAGCCATCAGAGAAGTTGTTTTGTTCAGAAGAACCTCCCTAAAGCTTAGGATGAACCCGTAGGGAAGGGGAGATGTGGATGAGTTGAAATCCTCACAAGCAGCTCTGCTCAGACATTACCAGGATTGGTTTCCTCGAGGCTCAGGCATTTATTTCCTATAAAAATAGGAATAAATACTGACCCAGGCTTGGAATATTTGGGGTAGGTTGCCAACAAGAGTCTTCCTCACTCATTTTATTTGCTTATGAGTAGTTGGGATTGGCAGAAACCCTCTGTCCTCCTCGGCTTCTTGGAGGGACATTCATCAGCCCCTATTTTGAGGGCTACAATGTCAACACTAGGGAGAGTTATTATAAAGCCTAATATTTTCAGAACATCAAAGACCTTCTGTGTTTAATTGTTGCTTTTGTAAGCAACTTGAAGTCCCAGGAATGCAACTCTATAGTTACTTGAGCGTAAACAGGCAGCAATGGAGCAAAGAGAGCCTAAATTAAGGATGAATCAGGTTCCTAAAGTCTATTTTAATAAATTAAAGGTGCTAAAAACATCACGAGTGAATATTTTTGAGGTGCCGTGTCACTGAAGTCCTGTAACTGAATTTAAAGAATATGGGTTCTGAATTTAAAGAATATACAAAAAGCCACCTGCAAAACAACTATTTAAACTACAAGGAGGAGGGACAGAGAAGTTTTTGACAGCTTGGCTGAGCTCTGTGGAACAAGATGATTCCCTTTGACTGGAAATACAGTGTTTAGACACTCGGAGGAAAATTAAAGCAACTAAGCCAGAAAAGACACGTGTTCCTCTGCTCTTTTGTTAGGCTACAAAAAGATTGCTTCTGTGTATCGATAATTCTGGTATGATACAAGAACTGAACCTTTGTGGGTAAAAGGCTAACTTTCAAGAGTTTAAAACCCCAGCGACCTGGATGTTCGAGGATGAGATGCCAACAAGCTTCTCCCAGAAGCACTGAGAGGAGCTCAGCTCCTCGAAACGGTGTTAAATGGGATGTCGAGGGCTCACTTTCGCCCCCCTCTGAGGAAGGATTTATTTGGGAGAGTGGCGGGAAGCGCTGGGAGGGAAGAGAAGCTGCCTGGAAGAGCTAAAGGTGGGGGGCGATGGGGTTGTGAGGAGGAATCTGGCCCGAGGAGCGGGTTGGCATTGGCATTGCCCCACGGGGACGGGACCCACCGGGTGACCTGCTCGACCCACTGGCGCTGGGTGGGATCGGGGCAGCCCAGCCCGGGACGAGCTCGCTACGGAATTAAAGGAGAATTAAGGGGATGGGAGAGGAGAGGAGGAGGAAGAGAGCAGGGAGAGGAGAGAGGACCAGGGTCTGGCCCCGGGTCCATCCGTTCCCACCAGGGCCAAGCAGTGCCCGAGTAGCCCCGGTTCGACATGTCACGAGTTTAACCATTTCTAAAATTATCCTTATCATTCTTTCCCACCTTCCAGACGCCCCTCGAACCCTCCGGGC